CGTCTTGAGTTGCTGAGCCTGGAGTTGCGGAGCCTGCGGCCACTGGACCTCCCCTTGTGGCGTCTGGCGGTGCGGGGCCTAGAGGTTCTCCGGGTACTTCGTCTCGGCGGGAGCCCCTCTCTCCACAAGAGCTGCGCGAGTGGTTTGCTCGCCGCTGGAGGCGTACTGCTGGAGCTGGAGCTTCTTCGGCTGCTGAGGGTACTTGTGCCGCTGGTCCCGGAGCTGCTGTGCCTTCGGGTCCACCTGGAGCTGGGGCCGCTGAGGGTGTTGGTGCTGAGACTGCTACTGTCCTTCCTGGCGGTGGTCCTGCTGCGGGTGCTGCTGGTGCTGCTGGAGGTCCTGCCGCTGGAGGTGCTGTTGGCGCTGATGCTGCCACTGAGGGTGCTGGTGCTGTCCCTGCTGTGTTTGGAGTTGCCGCGCGGCCTCGGCCGTACTTCGTTCCACTCTTGCAGCAGGTTCTTGGTCTTTCTCCTCCTGTAGAGTGTCCACCGCTTGTCCAGTCACAGTCACAGTTAGCGCCCGCCTCCCCACTTCCTGCTCCCTCTCCTTACACTGGTCCTACTGGAGGTCTTGCTGAGCGTCGTGAGCCTGCGTCTCGTCCCGCGTTGCCTGTTTGTGCTGCTCGCGCTAGTGGTCGCGGTTCGCGTCAGCGTCCTCCCCCTATCCCTGGCACGCACCGGATGTCTCTGCGTCCGTCCACTGCTCCTCTGCGTGCCCCTTTGCCTTCTCCTCCTGAGTCCTCTCTGACTACACTTGCCAACCCAGAGTCGGACTCTCTTCGTACTGCCAGTCCTACTGTCACGCGTCTCCTTGCTACTGTCGTCACTGACCCCTCTTTTGAGTCCACTGCTGCGTTTGCGCTTGTTGCTGAGCTCGTCGACTTTGCTACTCGCTGTCGTCTAGACTACGTTGCCAGTCTTGTTGCTGAGTCTGCGTCTGTCTGTCCTCCGTCCGTCGGGGGTGAGTGTGCTCTTGGCACGGACGTCATTGAGGACAGGCAGGAGGAGTTCCAGTGTCTGGCTGCTGCTTCACCTCATCTCGCGTCCGTACTACTTACCCCTGAGGGAGACCCGGATGCACTTGACATCCCGACTCCGCGCTCTTACGCGGAGGCCGTAGAGGGTCCCTACTCCTCTCAGTGGCAGGCAGCTATGGATGCAGAGATGGCTTCCTGGAAGTCCACAGGCACCTACGTTGACGCGGTTCCCCCTCCTGGGGCGAACATCGTCAGTGGCATGTGGATCTTCAGGGTGAAGCGGCCGCCGGGCTCTCCACCTGTCTTCAAGGCACGGTACGTCGCTCGTGGCTTTAGTCAGCGGCAGGGAGTTGACTACTTTCAGACCTTCTCTCCCACCCCGAAGATGACCACTCTTCGGGTGCTGCTGCACATAGCCGCTCAGCGCGACTACGAGCTCCACTCTCTAGACTTCAGCACTGCTTTCTTGCAGGGTAGCCTACACGAGGAGATCTGGCTGCGCCGTCCACCTGGTGTCACTGGGACTTTCCCTCCTGGCACCCAGTGGAGCCTCCGACGGCCAGTCTACGGTCTCCGCCAGGCACCGCGTGAGTGGCACGACACACTGAGGACTACGCTTGCGGCTCTTGGGTTTGCTCCCTCTACTGCTGAATCGTCGTTGTTTCTGCGCACCGACACCTCTTTGCCGCCGTTCTACATCCTCGTGTATGTCGACGACTTGGTCTTTGCCACAGCTGACACTGCTGGACTCGCCTACGTGGCTCACGTAGCTGCAGAAGAGACACACGAGCTCTTCCGGCTCTGTCTCGTGGCGGGCTACTCGCTCGTCTTCTGTTCTCGGCTCAAGTTGTGAGGCTGAGATCTACGCCGGGGCCATGGCTGCACAGGAGCTTCGCTGGCTCATGCGTGCTGACTGACCTTGGAGAGCCGCCTTGTTCTCCTCCAGTGCTGTATGTAGATAACAAGGCCATGCTGGCCTTGTGTCGAGAGCAGCGCTTAGAGCACAGAACGAAGCACATTGCTCTCCGTTACTTTCCTGCTCGTGAGCTGCAGCAGTGGGTCAGTTGCGACTTGCGTACGTGGCCTCTGAGGCTAACATTGCTGATGTGTTCCCCAAGGCACTTGCGCCTTGTGACCATCAGCGCTTCTGCACTCAGCTGGGTCTTGTGCCTGTCTTGCCTCACTTGCTCTCCTCTTGACCTTGCTTGTACTGTCACATATATGTACCTGCTCTTGCTTGTCTAGCTCTATATATATATGTGTGTACTCTTGCATGTGAACTGGCCTTGTGGCCTTGTCGTTGTGCTCGGACTGTGTGGTGACGTTGTGATCCACCCTGAGCTTGCTCTGCTTTGCTTTGCTTGACTGGTCTTGTGACCCCTTGTTCTCCCCCACTTTGCCTATGGGGGTGTGTCAGAACATTCTATAGCTTATGCTGTTGTGTAGGCTATAGTGGGGTATCCCATAGGGGGTACAACCCAATTAGGGTTTCCTATATGTACTCACTTCATTCATAGTTCATCCATCCTCGTTCTCATTTTCACAAGCAGTTTTCGGAGGCTAGTGAGATCCCCCGCTGGGGAGAGCTGACTAGGGCAGGTGTCGCTATCTATGATCTTGACTTTGATGCTATCCTTGCTGCCATGTATGCTGTGACTATTAGTGATGAGGGTGACTGTTACCGGTGTTTCTAGCTCGACCCTGGCATTGAGACTGCTGCTCTAGGTACTGGTGAGGGTGCTGCTCTAGGTGCCAGTGAGGCTGCTGCTCTAGGTGCCAGTGCGTTTGCGTCCTCAGGTGCTGGTGAGTCTGCGCTCTCAAGTACTGCGTGGGCTTCGGCCTCCCTCACCTTCACACTTGACTCAGGGGCTTCTCGCTCCTTCTTTCGAGACCGCACCACACTCACGCCGCTTGGTCGGCCAGTTGCAGTCTCCCTGGCAGACCCCTCTGGGGGTCCTGTCCTCTCTCACTTCTCCACTGTCCTCCCGTGTCCGGCTGCCCCCTCTGGCACCTTGTCTGGTCTTTACCTCCCCTCGTTCTCTACGAACTTGGTGAGTGGTGCTGACCTACAGGATGCGGGGGTTCACCAGTTTACTCCTGCGAGTCAGCGGGTGACCCACTGCTCGGACGCGCGCACAGGTCGGCACCTGGCCACGTTTACGCGTCGGCCGGGGTCGAGCCTCTACACCCTGACCACTGAGTCTCCTTCTGTCCCTGCGTCTGGCCAGGTAGCTGCGTCGAGTCAGGTGTTTGCTGAAGCGTCCAGGTCTGGTCCTGAGTCTGCCCCCTGCTCGTGTCGCCTCCTGTCTCACGAGACTCTCCTGTGGCACCACCGTCTTGGTCACCCCTCCCTGCCTCGTCTCCGAGGCATGGCTTCCCGTCTCCTTGTCTCTGGTCTTCCCCGGTCCCTCCCTCCCCTTCCTCCAGGGCCTGGTCCTTCCTGTGTCCCCTGTGTCGAGGGGCGGCTCCGGGCTGCCCCGCACTCCTCTCAGTTTCCTCCGACAGAGGCCCCGCTGCAGACGCTTCACATGGACGTGTGGGGCCCGGCCTGCGTGTGTGGACAGGGTCACGAGCGCTACTTCCTGCTGGTGGTTGACGACTACTCGCGTTACACCACGGTCTTCCCCTTGCGCAGCAAGGGTGACACCCGAGCCATGTTCTGGCTGCTGTGCTGCCGTTCCCCCCCGAGTGGGCAACTTCTACCGAGAAAGCAAGAGTGTTTCAGGAGGCAATTCGGATCATTCTCGGGCCCCTCATGCGAGAGTCTTCAAGGTATGCACCTACTCCGGATTTTGCTACATGTGCTGCGCATCGTAGTTCCGCCGCCAGCCTTTTGGTCAAACAATGTCCTGTCCACCTGTTTCCTTCTTTTACATCCCTCTCGGCCCAGCGCTCCATTAAGGGTGTTCTATGTCATTGATCCACAGGGGGAGCCTGTGAAGGCCGTCCCATGCTTCTTTGGTTACCCTCGCGACTTCATCGAACAGTGCCGCGTCACCGCGACGATGCAAACAGGCACCAAGAGACCCTGTTGCACATGTTACGTATCAGAAGACCTCCTTGGAGACTTGAAGCATAAGGCCACGCCGAGGACCGTAGACTCCGAGATGCATGTGTTGCGCAACATGCTTGCGTGCAAGACTGTGAAAGATGCTGAAGCAATTCAGTCCGAGTGGTCAACCCATCCAGTGGAGGTATGTGTGTGCAGTACGCATTGATGGTGGCGATCTAATGATAAGCCCGCCATCGTACCGTATGACATGAACCCCTCTCATCCTACTTGCACCACCCTGCAGTGTGTGTTATCGCAGTGGAATTTCTCGGACACTGTGTGGGGCAACCCATTTGGTGCTACTGTCGCGGACATCATGCACGTGCTGGACTCTGGGATGGCGCTGCACTTGCTGGAGAACCACATCGCTGTTCTTTCCAAGCCAGAGAGGCGAGAAGTCGAGAGGTTAGTCGTATTGTAAACTGGGATATGGGCGGAACATAGAACAGAATGACGTGAGCACGATGTGAAGTGAATGCATGTATTTAGGGTTACACAGGGAGGTCCAATGTTAATCCCTGAGAGCACCCCTTCCCGGGCCCTCCACCCCTCCAGGCGCAAGAAGGCAACCAAAGGAGAGACACCAAGTATTCTATTGCGTCTACCCGGAGGCAGTTCCTACTTCATGAGTGGGGCCAACTACGCAGCCTTCGAACACCGCAGCATGATGCAAGTGATGCCAATTCTGGTGGCCGACAAGTCTGCGCTGCAAGCAGGAGAGGCGGGAGACCTGGCTGCGCTCCGCGTGCGTGCGTTCAGGATGTACGCAACCTTCTACAAGGCGTTTCTGGGCGTCAGCGGACACACGGACTCCACTCTCGCCATCGCCCGTGGACACGCCATCAAGTATGGAGTATAATCCGGGCGTAGGTATAGTGGACGTTGCATGCCAATGCTAGCCGCAGAGTTGGGTGCTTGCTGTCACTGACCGCATCTTTGATTTGCGTGTTCTTTTTTCCGACGGGACGTGGCATGATCCACAGGTTGGTCGAGATTTTGCCGCAGGCGTATCCGGATCATGCATCGCATTGGCGCTTTCCAAAGATTCACATGATTGTCCACATGCTGGACAATGTGATCATGCGCGGAATGCCGCACCACTACAGCACGGAGATGTGGGAGCATACCCACAAGGGGACGGTCAAGATCCCGGTCAGGGGCAGCAACTGGAAGGACATCCCCCGACGCATCGTGGAGGAGGAGGTGCAGAGAGAGATCTGCAGGGAGGTGGCACAGGACGCGGGTGGCGGGCGTGAGTATGCGACGGCGCGGCGCGAGGTGAGACTGTGCGTAGCATATCCCTTGCATGACCGTATGATCGTTGGACACGTCAATACCACGTGACTTGTCTGCGGACACGATCGCGACATACCCATTGCCTTCCACACCCGCAGGCTGTTGAGACGATGAAGCCCGTGCTCACGAGGAAGGGACTCACAATGCAGCCGGCGGAGGAGGGAGATGCGGTGATGGGTACCTACCGTACGGCACTTGGCGACCTCATGGATGCGCTACCAGGCAGCATGGTGGCTGCCAAGATCACCACATCTGAGGTCGTGGTGCGTACACATGCGCAAGTGTATCCTCCACCAAGGTTGTTGTTGTTGAGTGCTTAGGCTCTGTATGTGTGCGTATCGAGTATACACCCGATCTTGCTCCTTATCCCAATGCCCCACTCATGGAGGCCCACACCGCGGTGGCGATTCCGCGCACCAAAGGCGGAGCACTGGTCCCCAAGGGGGCGTTCATCAAGGCAAGCCCCAAGGAGAAGTGCTTCACTGACTTTGCAGTGAAGTCGGGCAAGAAGGAGGAGTGGTATGCGAAGGCGCTGTGTATTTTCAAGGTAGCGACAACAGAGGGCGACCGGAAGGGGTTTGTGTACGTGCGGTGGTATGAGAGGGCAGGCATATGCCCCCTCACCACCTCCGTGTAGTTAACACCGTCACGCAAGGACACAAGGCACGTAGTGATTGAGGTGGAGAGCATTCTGCGAGTTGTGCACATTTGCCGCTCTTTCAGCAACCCTGCAGTGTTGCTGCTGAACAAGTTTCTTCTATGTGAGTGATTTTGAGGTGGGGGTGTGAGGAGGCGTTTGAGGGTTGTGGTGTGCATATGCTGCAGTTATTTTCACAGCTGGCTACTCAAAGTGTAGACTTACACGCCCTAGTCGCATGATGAAAGACGGGTTGTCACTTGGGTGATCTAGAGACCGACACATAGAGCGCCATGACCGCAACTGTAGTGCCGTGGTGTCTACATGCTTATGCGTTCTTTGTAGCTGTTATTTGAACACTCCAGTTTCTTTGAATGGTGAGTGTACTTAACGCATGTGAGATGATGGGGTATGCTGTATTGCGCACTGAGTGAAACTGCAAACCCCCCTGGGGGGCGCGGTTTGGTGTTGCAAGTTACAGGTACGTGGCACGCCCGCGTTCCGGCGAGGGACGGAGTCACGGTTGGGGCGTGGGTGTAATCAGAAAGACGCACAACCATTGGTGCGCAGGCTCGTATCATTGGTGGACACTATTGGGGGGTGTACCAAGTGCGATTGCTTTCTGGGTACGGGGTTCCAATGGTATGCTAATGTGGCACAAGTGTGGCCTTAGTTGTTAATACAGCAAGAACCGCGAAGCACAAAGAAACCCATGCACTTGCCGGGATTGTGTTTCACCCGGCGTTGCAGCATACTTTTTTGAAGAAATGGCGTCCCTGGTATCCCTCCTTGAGGCACTGAATGCACCGCCCAAAAAGGTGTTCACTTTCACGGAGTTTCCGTTAATCCCCACACGGGTGCCGTTAGGCACGTCTGTGGACGAGCGTGAGCAGCTGTCGCGGGAATGGCACATACCCGTATGCTTTATGTACAACGCGACAGGATGTGTCCACAAACCGCCAATCGTTGTTCTATGACGGGACGACAAGAGGCCAGTACATGAGGGGCGCAAGAAAAATCTGTGAAGAATGAAACGAGAGAATGATTGAACTATGAAAGAGTTGGGTACAAGTACTAACCCTAATTGGGTTGTACCCCTTATGGGCTACCCCACTAAAGCCTACACAATTGTATAAGCTATATTGTTCTGACACACCCCCATAGGCAAAGTGGGGAGAACAAGTGGTCACAAGACCAGTCAAGCAAAGCAAAGCAAAGCTCAGGGTGGATCACAAAGTCACCACACAGTCCGAGCACAAGAGTAAGGGCACAAGGTCAGTTCACAAGCAAGATCATATATATATAGGTAAACAAGCAAGTGCAGGTATCGAAAGAGTACAGTACAAACAAGATCAAGAAGTGAGCAAGTGAGGCTAGGTAGGCACAAGACCTAGCAAAGTACAGAAGCGCTGATGATCACAAGGCGGAAGGGCCTTGGTGAAGATATCAGCAGTGTTGGCCTCAGAGGCCACATAGGTGAGGCGGAGCTGACCACGCTACTGCAGCTCACGAGCAAGGAAGTAGCGGAGAGCAGTGTGCTTCGTTCTGTGCTCCAGTCTGTGCTCCCGACACAAGGTCAGCATGGCCTTGTCGTCTACGTACAGAACTGGAGGAGAACGAGGCTGCTCTCCTAGGTCAGTCAGTAGGTAGGTGAGCCAGCGTAGCTCCTGTGCAGCCATGGCCCCTGCGTAGATCTCAGCCTCACAGCTGGAGCTGAGAACAGAAGACGAGCGGGTAGACCGCCACGAAACAGAGCCGGAGCCAAGGCTGAAGGTGTAACCCTGTGACGACCGCTGCAGAGCCTGGTCGTCAGCCCAAGAAGCGTCAGCGTGACCTGTGAGGACCACTCGACGTCGCCCTCCAAGCACTAGCCCCATGCCCGACGTACTGCACACGTAGCGCAACACCCTCTTCGCTGCGGCCATGTGCTCTGGCGACGGGGCCGTGGAAGGGCGGCGACGGGGCCGCTAAAAGGGCGGCGACGGGGCCGCTGAAAGGGCGGCGACGGGGACGTAGGAAAGGGCGGCGACGAGGCCGCGTAAGGGGTGACGCGACGGGGCCACAAGGGCGGCGTGACGGGGCCGCAAGGGCGGCGCGACGGAGCCGAAAGGGCGGCGTGACGGGGCTGCAAGGGCGGCGCGACGGGGCCGAAAGGGCGGCGCGACGGGGCCGTTAGGGGCCGCTAGAGGCCGCTAGAGGGGGGACGATTCATGGTGCGGCTCGGGCAGGGGCCAAGCGTGCTCCGGGCAGGAAAAAAAAAGTTGGCGGGCCCTAGGAACAGTTCCCACGAGGGAACCAGCTCTATACCATGTGAAGAATGAAACGAGAGAATGATTGAACTATGAAAGAGTTGGGTACAAGTACTAACCCTAATTGGGTTGTACCCCTTATGGGCTACCCCACTACAGCCTACACAATTGTATAAGCTATAATGTTCTGACAGAATCATGACGTGAAAGTGCGTTACGCCAAGAATGGGCGCTTTTCTAGCGAGGTGAGCGGGTTCAAAGCTGGGGTTTGTAGGTTGATCATCGTTGTTTATGAGGTGCAATTTTGGTGGCCGTTGTTCTGTACTCATGTCATCACCACGGACATCCGCCGTGTTGTGTGCGCAGTTGTTCACTGAGTTCGTCGACGAGTTAAACGGGGAGTTGCATGCAAAGAACGAGAAGGCGGTGGTGTTGGTGCACTGTCAAATTACAATATTGTGTGGGCTATAGTGGGGTAGCCCATATGGGGTACACATTGCTAGGGTTGCATATTTGTATCACTTCATTCATAGTTCATTTAATTCTCGTTCTACTTTCCTCATGGTATCGAGCAGGTTCCCCCTTGGGAACTGTGCCTAGGGCCCACCACATCGCAATTTTTTTTCTGCCCGAAGCGCACTCCTCCCGAGTCGCGCCCCGGGCTCTCACCTCGTCGAGCCGCCCTAGCGGCCCCTACGCCCTAGCGGCCCTCCCTCCCTTGGCGGCCCCGCTGCCCGTTAATGCGGCCCCGCCGCCCGTTCGCGTGGCCCCACCGCCCGCATTCGCGGCTCCGCTGCCCTACTCCTGCGGCCCCGCCGCCCTACTTCGCGGCCCCGCCGCCCTACTCCTGCGGCCCCACCGCCCTACTTCGCGGCCCCGCCGCCCTACTCTGCGGCCCCGCCGCCCTGCTCCTGCGGCCCCGCCGCCCTACTTAGTGGCCCCGCCGCCCTACTCCTGCGGCCCCGCCGCCCTATTTCGCGGCCCCGCCGCCCTACTCCTGCGGCCCCGCCGCCCTGCTCCTGCGGCTCCGCAGCCCTACTTAGCGGCCACGCCGCCCTACTCCTACGGCCCCGCCGCCCTACTTCGTGACCCCGCCGCCCTACTCCTGCGGCCCCGCCGCCCTGCTCCTGCGGCCCCGCCGCCCTACTTCGCGGCCCCGCCGCCCTACTCCTGCGGCCCCGCTGCCCTACTCCGCGGCCCCGCTGCTCTGCTCCTGCGGCCCTGCCGCTCTACCCAGCGGCCCCGCCGCCCGTCTGCTGCGGCCCCGCTGCCCTACTTCGCGGCCCCGCCGCTCTCAACTCTTGCAGCGCCGCCCGAGCCGCCGACCGCCGCGCAGCCCTGCAGCAGCAAGCCCGCGCCGCCGACCGCCGCGCCGCCCTGCAGCAGCACAACAGTGCCGCCCAGCGGCAGAGGAGCCGAGCCGCCCTGCCGCCGAGCCGCACTGCAGCCGAGCCGCCCGGCCGCCCACCAGCCGAGCCGCCGTGCAGCCGAGCCGCCCAGCAGCCGAGCCGCCGAGCCGCCGAGCCGCCCTAGCAGCCGAGCCGCCGAGCAGCCGAGCCGCCGAGTAGCCGAGCCGCCCTACAGCCGAGCCGCCCGAGCAGCCCTGTCCGGTGAGCACAGCCCCTCTGTCACTGCGTGCCCTTCCCCTACTGCTTGCACTACTACACTGTTGTCGTCATGGCTACCCCTAGTGTCCTCGCTTTTGACGCTGAGGGTCGAGCCATTGACTTTGAGGTCTGGGTCGATGACCTGCAGCTGTTCTTACAGTGCGATAGGGCGGACGGTCTTTCTCTCTTTGACCTCACCTCTGGCGCCTCTCCTGCCCCTGCTGCTGATGCTGACCCCACTGTTCGCTCCCAGTGGACCACCCGCGATGCTGCTGCACGTCTTGCTGTGCGTCGCCACCTGCCTACCACTGAGCGCGCGCACTTTAGTGAGTACAAGAGTGCTCAGACCTTGTACGACGCTGTAGTTGCGCGCTACTCTTCCCCTGCCACTGCTACAATGAGCCGCCTCATGCTACCGTACCTCTTCCCTGACCTTGCTGCCTTTCCCACAGTCGCTGACCTCATTACGCACCTCCGCACTAGTGACACTCGCTACCACGCCGCGCTTCCTGCTGAGTTCTGCGCCAAGAACCCCCCCCCCCATGTACATCACTCTCTATTACATAGTCACCCGCCTCCCTGACTTCCTTCGCGTAATCAGGGACCCCTTCCTCTCAGTCTGTCCCACCACTCTCACTGTTGACCTCCTAGAGAAGGCCCTCCTAGCAGCGGAGAAGAGCATTGTCGCTGTAGGAGCCTCTCGTGGTGACCCTCGCACCCCCATCTTTGAGGGGTGTTCCCCTTCCCCCCTGTTGCCCTCTTTTGCCTCTGCTGCTGCGGCCAACCTACTTGGACTTGAGTCGGTCGGTGCGGCGTCTGCCCCTAGC